CGTGTGGCTGGCGTGGGCTGCCCCACAGCATGGCGGTCTCAGCACAGGGCCTTGGGCCAGCCCGTGCCCGGCCTGGGAAGGCAAGCAGTGTCCTGCCCCCCTGTGTCCTGTGAGTCGCAGAAAGCCCTGGCCACCCAGGGTCCGGGGGAGGGGACTCCACAAGGGGGTGCACAGGGAGGCGTGGCGCTGGGGTTTGTCAGACTCCCTGCTCCCAGCCTCGCCCTGGTGTCCTGGGGGCTGGAGAGAGAGAGCCCGCCCGCCTCCTCCTCCTCCGTGCACACAGCTGGGTGCTCCTGCCGGCTGGGCTGCCTGGAGTGAGGCCTGGCCGCCCAGCGTGAGGGCAGGGCCGCCCCAGGGCACCTCTCTTGTGTGTGTAGATGTATGTAGGTGTGTCTATATACACTAGAGGCCTGGTGCACCCGTGGAGTTCCTCGGCCTGGCCTGCGAGGATTGGGCCAAAACCGGCTCTCGGACATCCCCCGAGGGTACCGGATTGCGAGACCCCTCCTGCAGGCCCAGCCTCCAGGGCCTGGACGCCCACCGGCTCCCTCCTCCCTCCTCCCTGGGTCTGGAGAGCGGGTGAAGCAGATTCGGGGCGACAGTGCCCCAGCAGCAACCTAACCCACCGCCGATTCCACGAGGAATTGCGCTCCCTCCTCTGCTGGTCGAGCGTCTGCCCCCTGGTGGTCATTGCACGTCATGGCTACCAGGCGAGCGGTCTAATAGTTGGTCACTTGGGCTTTTATACGTATCGATATTTTATTGGTTTCAGAGAGGAAGGGAGAGAGAAACATCAATGAGAGAGAATCATGGATCGGCTGCCTCCTGCACGCCCCTACTGGGGATGGAGCCCATAACCCAGGCATGTGCCCCGACCGGGAATGGAGCCGTGACCTCCTGGTTCACAGGTCGGAGCTCACCCACGGAGCCACGGTGGCCGGGCCCCAGGGAGCCTCTCCAGGGAGCCTCGCTTTCGTCACGTGCGGGGAAGTAGCGTTGTCATAGTAACGCAAGCCGAGGGCTGGCAGTGCGGGTTGCGGGATTTACGTGCCTGCGACCTGCCAGCAAGGTGCCCCCCGGCCCCCGCCGGAAGCAGGCCCTCAGATGCCCCACGGAACCCCAATTGGGAGACGGACTCAGAACCGAGGCTGCGCCCGCAGCCCTTTCACG